AGGGCAGGACACCTGTGACAAAATGGGTCCATGGCAGTTCTCCATCAGTTGCAAGGGCTCTCTGTTGTTAGAGGATAGGGAAAAGGGGAGGCAGTTTCTTCATCTAGCCCAGGAGACTGGGAAAGATTTTTAGGATTTTTCGTTTCAGTCATGTGTGAAATAACAGACTTGGCAATGAACAGCAACTACTGAGAAGAAAAAAACGAACAGCAAAAACACTAGAGTAACTAAGATAAGCTGGCGTGCTCTTAAGATGGGCTTGTTTTGCCTTGAAGCTTGAAATTAGCTTAGAAAAAACCCCACAAAACTGCTCTTGCATGGTCTAGCCTGGGGAGCTGTGTTTCCAGCTATTCTCTATGTTCCCTGAGCTGACAGAGAAGGATTTTTTAGAATTCCCAGTTCTGCCCTCCTCCTGCCCTCCTGATGGACCCAAAGCCCTGCCTTACCCTTCTACAATGGGGTTGGTTTGACGTCTCCTTTCCAATGATCAAGGGTGGTGGTTACCGTTTGTCAGGCCTCCTACTGTGCTACAGGGCAAGGGGGAGGCTCCTTCCTACACTTGTGTTGATGACAACATTCTTCCTAATCGCTCTTATTTTATAATTTCTTCTGATTATATATGATTATTGGACTATTGGATCTGTCTCTATATAATTTCACTGCAGCAACTATTTCAGTTTAATTATATGTTGTTTCAAAGATTTCTTTCTGTAAAATTCAAGGCAGGATGTGTGTTTTTATTTAATATATAGGGTGGATTATTTAGTTTCTTGAGGGCCCTGTTCATTTTATGCAAGTGTTTCTCTCCCACATAAGGCAGAGTGACACAAAGCTAAATCAGAAGCGGTTTAGTTGCAATGTTGGAAATTCAAAGCTTAGTCATATAAGATTTGATTATAACTCATACACTCAGGGAGGCCACACTGAGATTCTGGGGACAGTCTTAGGTCAAGCATTTCCTGGCCTTTCAGTGCTTGATTTGGTAAATTCAAATTTATTTTTTTAATTTTGAAAGGCATTTAAAAAAAATATTCCAAATCCCATCCTGAGGCGTCTGCCTCTTCTTCCCTTTTTCACACTTTGCTTCTGCCTCTTTACCCAGCAGGTGCCAGCTCTTTCCCAGTTCCTTATCAAAGCCATTTCCCCTTCACATGGACACTGACACAGCCTGTCCTTGTCTCCTCTCCTCCCTCAATGCTTTCTTTTGGCCAATGTCACCTCCCTGCTCCTCCACTCACCCCTGCACTGATAATTACTTTCTTCCCTCCCCTCTGCTTTTCCCTCCATTTATCAACTCCCAGTCTCCAGTCAGATATTTCTCTGTTCACCATTGACCTCCAGTCATCACCTCATTTCCCCAGTCTGATTCTGGTGCTGGGGTCAGGCAGAAATTTTGTCACTTTCTTCTTTCCCACTGCTGGGAGGTCACCAACAAGCTCAGTAAGACCACGAGCAAGTATTTTGCTTGGCATCCGCCACCCTTGGCCCACAGCCACCCACAGGCAGTGAAGTGGGGCCTGTTGGTCTATGACCAGGCCTTTGCTGAAGCCCTGTCACAGGCCACTGTGGAGGGTTTAAACATTGCCATGAGTATTGCATCTGGCTTCTGAAAGCTCCTGCACATCCATCCTGCGTGCAGACTGCTTTCTTCCATCTAAGAGTCAATGTTTTTACTTGATTTGGTATGATTTTCACAGGGATGACAAACAGCTCTCTTCCCAGGATGATGGCTCCTGGCAGGATAGAGGCCCACGTGGCTTTAGCAGTCTGAAAATGCTTCTGTATTTATTTTTAGTGGTCAATGTATTTTCTTCTAGCTTCAGTTTTAGAAATGAATCAGCTGGTTTTGGCTACTGCTTCTTCTTGTTGTGGGCAGAATCTGATACGAGAACTGCCTACCTTTACAGTTAAAGTTTGTAGAATTGTAATAGATTGTCAAAATGTTTTGATACTGCAAATGCAAGTCCAGGCTGTATTAGTCCTTGAGTTGGTTTTCAGTGAGTCCTAAATGTCACTTTATTGCAAAAATGCTAGCAGGACCACATTGTAAACTAAGACTAAGCTGGGTGTCAAGCATGGCCTGAACAGATAACAAAAAGATAGTCTTTGCTCTAGAGAAATTACGATTAAAATGTAAAACATACTAATGCAATGTAGATACATGAGGAAAACAAGTTAAATTATACTTGCAAGCTCTTAGGGTGCTAGAATCTTGCCTATAAAAGACTGGTATTGCAGCACAAAAGTTTCTTAATGGTAAACACTTCTGTTTATTGTGAGTGTGAGAAATAATGTGAGAGAAGGTAAAAAGGTGCTTATTCCAAAGAACAGCCCATGGGCAGTGGAGGCTGGCAGGACTTGTTGAGTGGCTCAGAGCTGAAATTTCAGTAGTGATTGAAAGGAGAGAGGTGAGAAGCCCTGAAAGCACAAACAAGGAAAGTTTACTTATTGCCCACAAGAGAAAGAAGCAGTGGAGGGATGCACGTCACTTAAAATTCCCCCTGTGCTGGTGCAGCACTGACTATGCTCCTATTTTTTATTAATGTTTATCCTGAGCCTCCCTTGATGCAATTTAAGTTCATTACCTGCTGTAATACACACCTGCAAGGCAGAAATAGCATGGCCCTCCTGGGTCATGTTCAACTTTTAATCTATGGCTTTTTTCTGCTGGGCTGCTGTCAGTCTTACTCTGCTCCCTGTATGTGTGCAGTGGCTTATTTCTGATTTAATCTAGAATTTTGTACTTGCCATGGAGTAAATTGCATTTACTGCTCATGTTTTGCTATATTAATTCAGCTCATGCAATCAGTAATGAGGGAAGCTGGTCAGTTTTTGCTTCATGAATAAAAATTACTTTCATTAGTGTATGTTCATATTGGAGAGTAAATCCACTGATGTGCAAGACTCTTTTAAGTGGTCTAAAGCAGTATTTAGACTACAGATGCTTTTCCTGGCTCCTGTGCACCTGTAAAATAAAAGCAAGACTTTCATGAAAGTCATTTGACCATTGAAGTAAACAGGAGGCTTTCCACTGATTTCAGTTTTCAGGCTGATTTTCAGTCTATTAGCTCCTACCCTAAATATGCAACAGTGCTCAATAAGTGCTTTTCCCTTTATTTGTGTACATTACATGATGGTGAAAAGCGTTAGTCAAACAAGACGATATTTTTCCCTTTTAAGGTCCTCATGCATAGTGGGAAAGTGGCACTTCTGTTTATACAGTTTTTCATTATTTTAGGATTGGGTCTCTTTTCTTTATTTTTTTTCTCCCCAGAAAATATCTCTGCTTGGAAGTTTTTCAATTAAGGATTCAGCTGGGGATGCATTAAATAAATGCAGCGTGCAACAGTTTACAGCAGACTGGAATTAAGGTTTTGATCTCGGATGATTCAGCAGACTTCACATGCCGTTGTGACTGCTAATGTCTAACCTTGACATTTATTTTAAAAAAGCCTTTCACAGAAAGAGTGAAACTAATAAAGCTACGAGTGATTCTTCCTCCGTGATCCCTTAATCCACCCTTAACTCTTAAACCATCATTGCAGGAAGACTTTTAAGTCCTCAAAAGGCTTCTACTGTTGGGATTCAAAACGTCTGGAGGAATCATTAAAAATGAACACTAATCTTATACAGCAAAATAGAACAGGCAGGTTTCTATAATTAAATAAGAGATTGATTTCGTATTCAAAATGACGACAATAAAAAGACCTGTGGAAAATACAGCATTGATACAGTAAGTACAAGACTGAACAGCCTTTATAATAACTAATTAAATAAACTGTTACACAAATGCTGTGCTGCTGTGACCCCTTCTACACTCAATAGCTCTCTGGCTGAACAGGCTGCACTATAAGTGTATCTCCTGTCTTCTTCTTCCGTTGCCTGTACATACACATACTTTTATATTTATGGGAACAGATATCTCATTTGTCTTCAGTCTGTTCTGCAATTGTGGCTGTGACAGAAAAGAGGTTTCCTTCTTATCTCCTCTCTGGTGTATTATTGTTATGTCATTATTACAACTACTACTACCACCACCACCACCACCAGAGTTTATATTCTGGTAGCTGCAAGGATGTTTAATCACAGAACTATATATTTGCTCTTCCCCAAAGGAACAGGACAAGAGGCAAAACCCAAAATATATACATGAGAAAGAACAAAACTATGGTGTAAAATAGGAACTCACATGGTTTATTAATTTTGATTCATAAAAATATGAATATGTATCTAAGGGTTTGCCTCAGATGAAAGATATTTCAAAATAATACAGTATCAATGGCCATCACTGATATTTTCATATACAGAAAATAAAAAGAATAATTATATACTTGATGAGTAATTGTGTAAATTTAACTGGATGAATAAAAAGGTCTGGGTTTGAGGAGGATATCGAGTTGTTTTGCTTTTTTAAAGTTGTACACTTTCTTTGTGGTATACTGCCCTATACAATATCTATGCACTGAATGTATTTTAAATGCACAAACAATTTTTCAGATTTTCCATATGCTAATGTGAAAGTGCAAACCATTGAAAATATTGTTAAAAATAAATAAAGCTATTCTATAATTGCTTAAATGCAGCTATCAGCCGAAGATCAAGGTAATTTTTGCCTTGTAATACACTTGTTATAATTTTATGTAGAGTGTTTCTGATGGTATAGTAGTTGTCATCACAGATACAAGCTGGCTGAACATTTTACTGCATTGTGGCTTTCCATAAAGAAAACGGACTTCTGATATCTTATCAAAGTGTTTTTCTTTCAAGTCTCTGATAACTGATAAAGCACGTTAGATCATTTAGAATAAAATCCTGATAACATGTGATATGCATTTGGACGGATAACGCAGAAAAAGAAAATCAAACCTGAGGACAAATAAGCAGTTGAGTGATTTACTTTAATAAATAGCTTAGTCTGTGAGCACCAGATCAGTGCAATCCATTTTTAATGCCATTTGAAATAAGTTGTAATATCAAAAGAAAGGCAGAACCCAGACCCATTAAGTTAAACTACTCCTGACTGGCAGCATGTTGAAATATGAAGACTTTCCTTTGAATGACACCCAGCTCAAAGAAAATCCACAGGGAATAAACTGTGCGACAACTTCTAAAGCCTTTTGCCTGAAGTATTTCCCAACGAAGACATAAATCACAGGGTTAATACAACTGCTGGTGGTAGCTAGAGTGCTGCAAAACTGCTCACCAAAGTTGAGCAGTTCTCCCCAAAAGCAACCAGTAATCACTTCTGTCTGGTACAAGATATCAATGAATACAATAAAATGGTAAGGAGTCCAGCACAAAAGAAACGTCAGCACCACTGTGAAGATCAACCTGGTCGCCTTTGTGTCTCTGTGCTCCTTGCAGCTCTTTGTCCTGAGCGCTCTTCGTTCTCTCGCTTTTTTCTGTAGGGAGCGAATGGTAGAGAAATTAAGGAGGATGATGGCTGTCGATGGCAACGCAAACCCCACCGTGTTGAAGAGCAGGCTTTCAGCCGTGATCCATGATGGGCTGGGGAAGTCTAAAGTACACGCTGAAATATTCCACTGGGGAAAGTGCTTCACAGTCCGAAACATGAAGACTGGGACACTGAGGAGGATGCCAAAGAACCAGATGAGCAAGCAGATCCCCTTGGCCATGGTTTTGCTCCGTATCCCTCTGTGGTTCAAGGTATGAACAAAAGTTAAATAGCGATCTACGCTGACTGCCACCAGCAAGTAGATGCTGGTGTACATGTTGAGGCTGATGGACGCGCTGGTGCTGCGGCAAAGGAAAGTGCCAAAGGGCCAGTTAAATTCATGCCTGATGTTTGCTGCCCAGAAAGGGAGGCACATGAGGAAGATAAGATCGGCACCAGCGAGGTTCATAAGGTAGATTTCTGCTATGTTCAGGGGGGCCTTGTGCAGTAAATAAGTGAGGAGAACAAAGACATTGCCAAGCATCCCAATAACACAGATGGCGTCGATGTACTTGGGTACTATGTAGTACACGATTTCCCACCAGTCATCCAAGTCCTGGCAAATAGTTAAGTTGCTCTTGTTTTCAGTCTGGTTTGAGGAGGGAATGTTCAGTAAAGGAGTTTCAGTCATTTCTTTTAAATTCTGAAGGCAGCAGGAGATGTCTTGGGAATGAGAGAAAGACCTGCAAGAAAGAAACATAAATATTCTAAAAGCTGTCTCCCATCACTGGTGTAACAAACATTTAACTTTTAAATTCTCTATTAGTTCTCAGTGATTATTATAGGCTAAATTAATCTATGCTTCATATGTGCAATGGTGAGAAATGTTCCCAGTCCTGGCAAGGACAGAACTTCCTCTACATCCGATGAAGTTTCCTCTCTTTGCTGCCATTGTTTCAAGTGGCACAGAGGAAGGAAAGTGCCAGTTTAGTGTAAGTAGCTCTGTGTGTATCCAGACTGATTACAGAAACAGATATAGCTGAATTCCTGCTCCCTGAGAGTAAGGGGAGTCACGCTGGTGACACAAAGCTCTCTTCGCACCCTTGTCTGCCCTGTCTCTTACTCTGTGCTCTGTGTAACTTTTATAACTGCCCATTTGCCCAGAACTGGGAATGACACTCACTCTGTGTGCATTAGGATTTTACAGCATTTGCAATACCTTTATTTCCCTCTGGTAACTCCATATGAGATCGTGCAGGAATGACAACATGGGTGAAATGTTATCTTCCCATGAAAATTCACTGGGTTGCCAGAGCTGCCTCCTGTGGTGACTTTATTCTGGTGTTGTCATGCTCAAACATAGTGTTTGTTTCTTGTGTTTTAAAGGTGTTCAATCTCAGTATCATTATAGTAGGCAAGACATTACTGAGCCTGTGGTGACATCTAACATTTGAGTATTTAATATCTAAGTAGAGCATGTCAATCATAAAAAAAGAATGCATTTTTAAAAAATCAATATTTTGCAATCACTCATCCTGAATGTTAACTTTCTACTACAGATATTTAACTCTGCTCTTTCCATTTTTGCATTTTTACACCGAGGAGTTAGCTAATGATGGAGTTTCTGATGACAGCATTTAGGACCATCGTTCATCTGTTTTACATCATGTACAGCCTTAGTGATGTCTGCATCTGAGCACCTTGCAGACTTATCTCCGTGGAATCTAGGAATCAGTTAAGTACTATTATCCCACAACACACAATTCAGTACCTAATGCACAGAACATCTTCCATTGTGTAATTCAGTGAGCAGCAAAGTTTTATCAGAGTTCACAAACTCACTCAAGCTGGGGGTCTGGTCAGGGAACTGGGCTGCAACTCAAATTAACACAGCTCTGACTTTGAACATCTTCACTCTCAACAGTCTGAGTGGTAGTGAGTTCACTGACAGTCTCATGCAAACAAAAATTAGTTGAAAGTTAAAGCTGCAGAGAATATATATAAAGTGAATAAATGACTGATTAGCACTTTAGAGGCTATTTGTGAGACAGCAAAAGGCTACTGGTGAGACAGCAGGAATCTAACTTTTTTGAAACAGTAGGCTGGCTAAGGTGTGAGAGGAATGGAAGAAAATCTGTAACATGAAAAATACTGTACAAGACAAGTAACAGTTAAACATTTCCTTCTGTAAACAGAATTATTACTTTTATTAAATATAAATAAAAAAGAAGTGCTTATTTTCCATGCCCATTTTCTTGCTGTCAGTTGATAGCAGTCACTTTGCAAACTTCGGATGTGATCTCTGCTCTGGAGCAACAAATTAATTTATGACAGGCTAAACTCAAAACTTCACAAACGTTTCCTTTCCATTGCAACTCAGATTTTAGCCGCAGCTAAACCTGACTTCTTGTTTCTCTAGCAATCGTAAATAAAGTTTCTGTAGAGTTTGTCATTGGGAAAATTTCTTCTGAGTCTACTAGCCAATGTTCAAGCACAACCACAAGCTAAAAGTCTTTTATAAACTTAGAGCTCCAGATATCTTCTTGACAGAAAATGCAATTAATTTTTGGTTGCTTAATTTTATTTCTTCTTCCAAGGCAATTTTCTTCTGTAAGTATTTTTAAATATTTAGTGCTAATGGACAATTAGCCACACGAATGGTTTTCAGTTTATGTACTTAACACATTCCAGTCATCTTTTACACAAATAATGACTTATTTTTCCGACTTTGAACTAATTTCTGATTAATTTCCATGCACAGTGAATCTATTACCATTATTACTGTTAATAATGGTAATATTAATACATATTACCCAGTTAGTATCATGTGTTCTGGAAACATTAAATAAATACTACTTTTGCTTTGGGAACAATCTTAAAAGTAAATATCACTTTGAAAGAGAAAAATCTGTGATCAGCCAGTTTTGTTGTAAAGAAATCTTATAACACGAATCTTTATACGTTTTTATACAACTTCAGAGAATTAATCTTGACCTTCAGAGTTAGTTTCATAGTGAAAAATGAAAGGGAAACTCGTAATATGCTGCACAGATCAGAACCGAGATCATTAAAGACTTTTTTTTCTAATATAAAGAATATGTGAAGCAATTTTAATAAAGGTAAGACATTAAAACCAGACAGACATACCTACTTCTTGTCCCTTTTGGCAATTCAGGCAAAGTTTCAAGTTCAGCAGCAGTTGGTAAGCAGCAGGACTGAGGTTACCGAGAGAGCTCAAAGATGCATCCTGAGGCACGACTAAGCGTCTGAGTGCTGTCTGAGTGTTTTCTTGGCCATATACAATGTCTGTGATGTTACATTTTGGAAGAAAGCCCCAGGATTTTTTTTTTCCATAACCTCTCCAAATGTCAGCTGCAGTAATTTTCAAAGCATGTGAAGTATTTCATTCTCATTGTGAAATTGTATAAGCCATATGCCATGACTCTTGTCCTCCAGTGGCCACTAAATAAAGCTCTCAAGTACAGGTCCTTGGCAATTAAAAGTTCCTTTGTATGATTAACTATGTCCATAACCATAACAAGTTTATCAGCAGCTCTGAACTGCCCTCCCAGTACCAATGCACACAAAGACAAACTCTGAACTGGGATTTTCTTGTGGTGGGAAACTCTTGTTCTGCCAGTCGGAGGGAGGACCATGCCAAGCAGCTGGGGTTAAAGCAGAATACGTATATGGGAAAAGATGTTGAAACCTGGACCCACTAAACCCTGCGTCAGCCTTGCCACCATTTTTGGAAACTGATGCATTTCGCACTCCACTATAGGTGTCTAGGGCAAGAGCCTCTGTGAACATCACTTCTCAGTAGTGCATGTTGACTACTGTATTTTCTTAGGCTTGCACCCATAAATAGTCTTCCTTTTATGTGATTACCTGCTGGGTCCTTGAAGCCTGAGACTGGTTGATAACCAGTTATTTTTATCTTTTTCATTCTGTTTCTCCTCTGAATAGAACAATATTTTTTAAAAAATCCTATCTGATGCAACTCAGCTTTTAAATATAAATCTCTCTCAAGTAAGTAAATCTGTGTAAACGGTAGGTGTTTTTCAACTTACTTTAAAAAAACATAGTGAGAAATTATCAAGGGACTGGAATGCTAATTACTTATAATAAATCATTCTTTCCATTGAAAAGAATGATTTATTATAAGTAATAACACATGCACCATCTGTTCGAATTCTTACTTGACTATGTCCATCCTTGCTTGATAAGTGAGTTAAAATGAAAAGCCATGCAAGGCTACAAAGTGATATCTTATTATGAGCCAACCATATCCTGGGCTGCATCAAAAGAAATGTGGCCATGATTCTACCCTCTGCTCTCATGAGACCCCCACCTGCAGCTCTGGAGTCCTCAACATAAGAAGGCCATGGAGCTGTTAGAGCAATTCCAGAGGAGGCCACAAAGATGATCAGAGGCTGGAGCACTTCCCCTGTGAGGACCGGTTGAGAGAGTTGGGGTTGTTCAGCCTGGAGAAGAGAAGGCTCCAGGGAGACCTTATAGCGGCCTTCAGTACCTGAAGGGGCCTACCGGAAAGCAGGGGAGGGACCTTTTACGAAGTTATATAGTGATAGAAAAAGTGGTAACGGTTTCAAACTGAAAGAGGGGAGATGTAGATTACACATTAGGAAGAAATTCTTTACTGGGAGGGTGGTGAGGCCCTGGCCCAGGTTGCCCAGGGAAGCTGTGGGTGCCCCCTCCCTGGCAGTGCCCAAGGCCAGGTTGGACGGGGCTTGGAGCAGCCTGGGCTGGTGGAGATGTCCCTGCCCATGGGGGGTTGGACTGGATGAACTTTAAGGTCCCTTCCAACCCAAACCATTCTGTGATGCTATGATCACCACAATAAATACTTTTGTTCCAACATTCTATCAATTGAAAAGATACTAAGTTAGAGTTATGCAAACTGGTAAAATTGACAAATTTGAAAAATTGTTCTGGTTTACACCATCACACTGGAGAACATTCTAAAGAACCCAACATATAATTTGAAGACTTAAAATATATAAATACTTCTTTTATTTAAACAACATCATATTTAAATATTTCCTTATTTATTAAATAAGTGAAACAGTATAAAAATACATCTTGACTGGAGCTATATGCTTCACTTCTTTCAAAATGTTTTTTTTTAATACCCGAATCAAAACATGTATTTTGGTAAGGATCTGAAACTTGACGCTTTTTTAATGACATGTTACCTAAGGAATCCTAATAACCTACAGGAGTTCAATCTCTAAAGAACACATCCCACAGTGATTCATTAAGGTAAGTGCAATACAACAGATCTTCGTCACAGACTTTCCAAAACTTCCTCTTTGCTTACGCTAGTGAATTTCTGTGTTTAAGTTATTTTTTCCATAAAGAAGAAGTTTTGAGCAATAACAAAAAGTCTGGAATTTGTCCTTGCTTGGACATGAATCTCTTAGAGCTGCCAACATCCACATTTACTCACAAATTCTGTATAGAAAACTGCAGCTGCATCTAAAATTTAAATGATAAATGCTACAGTCTTACGCAACTCATAATTTCAAAATGGGACCAACATATTGGTTTGAAAATCCATCTTCTCTATGTAAATCTAGTTTCTTATTTCCTGCTGTTTTTCATTGTCATCTTTAGAATTTTTCTCAGCAGTGGACAGAGATTTGAAATCGCAAGTCTGCATTTGGTGGAAATAATAGTGAAATGAATAGGCACGGCAGTAGCTTCAGGTCTAAAAAACTTAGAACAAGTCCACATAAGAAGCTGTAACTTCATACAAAAATGGGATTTATTATTTCTTTGCAACTTGACTCTTCATTTTAACCTGTAGAAAGCATGTAATGATTTGGTAACATTTTATAGTTTGCACAGCTGTTATGGACCACGGATTAAAGGAACGTGAAGGATTAAGTTTCAAAACAACTGTACTAGAGTCAACAGATAAAAGGTTTTTGCTGTGTACACATAATAAAACATATCTGTGTATTTGTGCTTTCAATTCAGGATACTCACAGCATATTAGTTTATGTTTTAAGTTTGTATGATCTTCAGCCACCCTGTCTGTGTTGACTTTCCTGCAAAAAGTACACAGTCTCTAGAGATGCATAGGAATTTAAGAATCTAACCGTGTCTCTTTGGTCAGAATGATTAAACAAGGCAGAGGTAAGACTGCTGGCTCAATTAATACACACATTACATGGCAGACAAGCGGCAGAAATCCAAAAGGTCTCCAGTTCTGGCTCTAGATCCAGCAGTCCAGCCAGTAAAACTCTTCCTCTTAATGCAGATGGAGTCTTTAATGATCTGAAAAAAATCATCTTTTTGGGACAGTATGATTTAACAGTTTGATTGTCTTTATTGAAGTGGTTTGCAAAAGAACATAGTTACCTGTTATAACTGTTTGTCTACTCTGGAACAGGAGAAAAGTTTTTTGATGTGACCTTGTGATGTAAAATTCTTTTCTTGGTTTGGTTGGACTTCTTTACTATAGGCAGCAGTTGGTCAGGATAGCAGTGATTTACAGTTCATAATAAATGATCCTGGCAGCATCTCAGTGCAGTAATAACCAAGCCCTGCTCACTACAGTTTGCAAAGGCCGAAACAGCAAAATATGGAAGGAGCCTGCAGAGGCTGGAAACCCGCAATGTGCTGATGGAAGAACAGAGCAAAAGGATGATTCAGTGGTTAAAGTACCTCAGCTTCAGGTAAGAAGATGGGAGCAGCTGAGGGAGGACGACAAGATAAAGAGGAATAAAAAGATAATGTGATTAGAGTTTGACATCTCCATCTCTGATGTCCTTATGACAAATTCTGCCCTCATTTTACCAAGAACCCTTCTTGTGTTTTACCCAGCTCATGGGAGAAAAAGACAGAGCCAAGCATCTGAGTGCGACTGTAAACTGCCAGTAGGTAAGATGTAGTTTGGACATGAGACTTTAATTTTTGGGGTTTTTTTTGGTACCTGCATAAATGGTACATGCCAATATTGCACAATGTATGAAAAGATTTCGGTATCCTTAGCTGCCTTAATTCAGAACTTAACTTCCAAAGGGACTGAGAGTGGTCAGCACTGCTCAGAAAAGGGCCCTGAAAAACAAAGCTGACCCAAAGCTTTGAAAGTAGGTGGTGGTTCTCAACTCACTCTCCTTTGGCACAATGGGAAGTGAAAGTACGTACCTGCAACAGTCACACTTCTGACAAGTCTTTCCTGAGTAACAGGATATGGGCTAGAGAAGAAAATGCCAGCAAATCTCATTTCTTCAAGGACTTTATTTTCTCTTGTACATACTTACTGCATAACAAAATAATGTGCCTATATATTTACATTATTTAAATTAATGTCATATTAATATAATAATATTTTAATATTTTACTTCTCAGTACCAAATACTCAAAAATCCCTTCCATTGCCTCTGCATGAATTTTCTTTCATTTAACGGTTGTGTGAACAGCATGCTTGTGAACAGGACAGTGTTGATAACTCTGGAGACAACAGAAAGCCTTGCAGTATTTCATCACATATGTTTTGGACAATTTAAGGAATGAGCAATAGAAGTAATTATGTCATAGGATTATGCTGTATTATTAAATAAAACCTATGGAAATTATCATCTATAATGATCTAAATCCCATAGTTTGTATAGCATATCTGCACACTTCTGGTTTTGGGTTTAATTATTTGAAGGTTACAAATTTCCTATTTTAAGTTAAACTGTATTCCTCCATTCAAGCTATAATGAATAACAAGCATGCAGTAGCAATCTGTATTTACTTATGTTGCCAAACTCCATTTCACTTGGTGGCTTTAAGGCTGTAATCTTAAGGACTATGGAAAGAACAAAGGCTCTGTTAGTATCAGAAGATTTTACATCACCTCCAACTCAGTTTTTGAACAAGGTTCCTACAAATGAAAGTGCATACTGACAATTCAGTACACTGTGAGTTTGTCTTCTGTGCAAACTGCAAATAGATCATAAATCCAGTCCAATTGAGGAAAAGCTATTTTGTATTACAATCACTCAGATTAACTCTACAAATGAAATGTAGGTATATTAGAGTCTGAAAAGGCCATTCTTGAATACTGTGAACTTTCCAGACTCCTCCAAGCTTCAGTCAGATTTCTAAGGCAGTCAGGTGATGCTCTCCTTTGTATTCCCAGTTTCTTCTAATTGAGAGATTATACCAGTTGGGCTGAGCTTTCATGTTTCCATTAAATAATGTTACAAATACAAATTACACTTTGTGAATATTAAAAACTAAGTCTCTGAGTTGAAGTCTGAGTATGAATTTAAATAACATGCACTCACTCAAAAGGAGTAACTGAATGCTTTTATCCTGATGCAGAAGGGGAAAAGGATCTCCTACTACTCAGCTAACTTCATGCACCTGGATGCAGCCTTGTTTCCTCTACTGCTTCACCTTTTCTGAGCTCCTTTCCATACACACAAGCTGGTGTAAAACTTGTAACTAGCAGGGGCAGAGCAGTTGCAAAAAGGGACAGCTTGTCAATCAGACAGTCAAAATAGTTTTGGATGACTGAACAGAGAAAGTAAAAGCTCAGAAAATGGCCACACCTAAAAATCCATTTGGACAGTAGTCCTACAGGATTCATTTACCAGAACTTAACTGAAATACTAGCCCCTTCTAACAAAAATCTAGTCTAACAACCTGTATGGGTACCATAAGTAGTTGCACAATTCTGACAATAGCTTCTATACTGAGGGTGTCTTCAGAGAACTGTATGTACATGTATGTACACCTTAGAAACGCAAACATTTCAAATGATACATGCATCCAGTATTTTTCAGCCATGAAAAGGTAAGTATGCTACAAAGTTGGATTCAATCATGAAAAATGTCCAGTAACATTAGAAGCAGGTCTCTGTAGGGAGTTTCCATCAAGATCAACCTGTTGGTTTCCCACAGATGATGAATACTACCACATGTCTATTTTGTGAACCAGTAGCAGACTGATATTAGTGGAGTCTGATACGTTAGAAGGCTTTTTTCCTGTAATGAACAAATTGTGCTATCGTGGTAAGGGCAAAACAGACTTTTTCCTTGAGTATTCACTTGAAATGGAAGTTCTTAATGTGTCCAGGGAGTTTTCTGTCTGCACAGACTGTGCTTTTCTGCACCTCTTTGGGAACAAGTCCTTGTAGAATTCCACAGCCTTCTTCTGGAAGTGCTTCCCAACAATTACATAGAGGACGGGGTTCAGGCAGCTGTTGCTAAAGGCACAGTAGGTACCTATCTGGGTCAGTATGTCATTGACTTCTTCCAGGCATTTGTGAGAGGGTGTAAAGTAACGGATGGTGTCAACGAACGTGCTGATCTGGAACGGAAGCCAGCAAAGGATGAAGAGCAAAAGCACAGCAAGGACCAGCATGGTGGCTTTTTTCTCTGTCTGGACCAACTTCATTTTTTGCAGCTCACTGCTTCGTAAGGCTTTGATGATTTGCACAGTGCAATAGGTAATTACAGAGAGTGGGATGACAAAGCCCACGATATTCAGCAAGCAGTTGTTTGCAGGCTCCCAGTAGCTGGATGGGTAATCCAGACCGCAGGCTGTGATATTGTAGTCTTCATAATACTGTAAATTTCGGAACACCATTGCAGGTGTGCACATGAGCAATGCACACATCCAGACTATACAGCTGTTCCATTTGGCACAGACAGTTCGTCGCATCCGTCCAAGAGACATGGTCTTCACCAAAGCCAGATAGCGGTCGATGCTCACTAGCGTCAGGAAATAAATGCTAGAATAAAAGTTCATGTTACTCATTATGTTGACAGCTTTACAAAGGAACAGGCCAAAAGGCCATTGAAAATTATTAGAAATATTAATGGCCCAGAAAGGTAAAGCGAAGATCAACAGTAGGTCAGCGAGTGCAGTGTTTGCTAGGTAAATTTCAGCCACTGTGCAGCGACTCTTGTGGCAACACAGGACGATGAGAACAAAGCCATTTTCTATTGCTCCCAGAATAAATATAAACCAGAGGAATCCAGGCTGAAAATCTTGTAGCCATTTCCATATATCTGGATTAATGCATTTATATTGATACAGCTGATGCGCTCCTGATTTATTGTGGAAATCTGATGGATTGACTGTGAACTCCCGAGTGGCCATGGTGTAAAATTGTGTAACATTTTCAGTTGTGATGGAAACCATCTCTGTGCAGAGAAAAAGAAAAAGAAGATGTGAGGTTGCTACATCTAACCCATTACTGTGAAAGATACAATAAGAAAATATGGCTCTGCTTTTCCTACTGTGCTAAAAAACACGGCTTTGAGTACAAGTCTCTAGGTTGCTTTCCTGTCGAAACCAAACTGCAGCAAGAACTGATTAATTCCTTGAGGAGGTTGATCATTACTTTCTTATCTCTGTGTATTGATACTGTGGCCATCACTTAAGCAAAGACTTGCCTGCAGTCAGGCTGCAGGGAGCCAATTTGGGTGCTAGATCACAGTCATTTGAAGTCTTACAGGGAGATATTTATGGGCATAAATGTCAGATATGTGCTTAAATGTTACTAAGACCAAACAGAAGTTGAATGTCCACCCATCAATGTTAAAATGATAACTGATTTTTTTATTGTTGTGCTCTGAGATAATGAATGCTGCGATATTATTCAAATGCAAGACTGGCTTCCCAGATCTATATATATAATTCCCTGGACAGGGTGACAGAAATATGTTTGTCTTTAAAATGCCACTGTTTATATTATGGTTTGTTTGGAAGCTTTTCAGATATATTTTTAATTAAGACATTTGTCTGATTCAGCTGGTAACTTGGCAGTAAAAAGGGGACATATTTATAATTCCTGAAAGGATAGAGTTCTCATCTGGTTGCTCTTTTTGCTGGTTGATAAGCATCAAAACATATATAGACATTTGGCTGTTGGATGCAGAAGTACTGAAAAATGGTGGCCATATTTTGTGTGAGTAGTTTTAATTAAACACTGTAGTGCGTGAGAACTAAAAGCAAAGGTGAAGATCAATTTTACTAAGTACAGTAAAGGCAGTAACAAAGGAAAATTGATAAGAGGTGTTAGGCAGGACAGGTCAACTGGATAAATCAGGCAAGTGGGACTTAGAAACTTGGAAGACAAGGCAACTTTAAAATGCAGTAATGGGCATCAAAAAAAAGCAATGCACATTTCCAGTCCTTCGTAACTTAAACAAATGACACTATTTGCATAAACTGAGTAACAACATAAATATCCTCATTCTCCAGGTTCATCCTCTCAAAACCTCAACTTTTCAAGCCCATATATAACTGCAGGACAGTATCTCTATCCTCTATCCTGCCTCTTCATTAACCTAGTCATTGTTAGAACCACCTCAGTCCTGAGACACTTGTATCCTTTGATTTCTCAGTGTTTTCAACCAGCATCTGAGGAACAGGTTGGTGGACTCTCTTTATTACACAGCACTAGATGTTGTAGTCATCCATCCAGTGATCTATGTCTCTGGTGACACTGGTTGTTGGGGCTTTTAGTCTAGTGGATATGGATTTAATTGTTCTATACTGAAAGCAAATGCCATCCACAATGCATGCTATGCAACATTGCCAATATTGTGATTTACGTCTTCTTTTCATCTTCCAGGTGCAAGCAACAATTGTAGGTTATAAATTCTTTGGTTAGAAATCTTACTTTTGTTTGATCCCTTCCAGGCATAGCGGTGCAGCTGCACCTGTAGTGTGTTTTTCTGCCACTTCATTTGTTCGTATTTCAGCACGATGGAATAGGACAATACCAAAAGCCTCACTGAAACCCAGACATGCTTGATCTATTCCTTCTGCTTTATCCACTAGGCCAGGTTGGATTAGTCTGACACAACTTCATTCTTGACATGTTTATACTGGTAGTTCCTCATCACTTTGTTTTTCTTTATTATTCTCCATATCTGGATATACCAATTATTAAATATTTTGCTGTCATGTTTTCTAGGTATTTGAATTATACTGACAATTTTGTAACTCCCTGGGTCCTGCTATCTGTGATAGGTCTTGGGTTTTGCCCTCTCCGGGCTTCTGGAATGTTCTCATTCTCCTCGGTTTCACAAACATAAAAGGTGATAGCAAAGATTTCCTCTCCTAATTCCTGACCCACACCAGGGTGGGTCATATAGGACCCTGGGACTTTGCATACCTCCATACATTCTTTAATTTTTTATTTTTTAATTCACATAAATCCTATTGTTAATTTTTTATTTTCCAATTCACATAAATCCTATTGTTCAAATCAACCATCTTAAATATCAGATCACAATCTTCATTTCTGAGAGGACTAATGCAGAGTCACCACTGAACTTTTCATCATTCTCTGAGTTCCTGGTTCTCTGTTCCTTCTGGTAACAGGCCTTGACTTTCCTCCATCATTCTCTTACTTTTTATATATTTATAGAAACTTTTTCTATTACCTCCTATATCCCCTATTAACTGCAACACTTTTTCATCCTGATGTATTTGATATCGTTGGCACTCCGAGTTTTATGTAATACCTCTGGTAGCCATAATTTTCTGTAATTAATCTCCCTATAGTGAAGCCTGGCATCAAGGTGGTGGTACTCATAAACATGTAAATATCTCAAAACTTAACTCCTGTGGCTGCAAGAGATGCCCCTAACAAATTGCGAACAGCGGTTTCAAGTCTCCCTTTCTGTGGCTGCTGGCACTTTACAATGTAAAAGCACATAAGAAGTGAAATACTAATGGATGGCCAACAAAAGGCCATCTGAGAACAGAATAGTTCTCCTGGGCAATGCAATTAGCAGAAGCTGTTTCTTCTGGCAGTAGTGGGCTGTGAACCAGCAGAATTGTAAGTGTGTGCATTATTTTATGCTTTGAAGTTGCATGTATGCATATATTTAATAAGATGTTCATTGGTAATTCAGAGAGTGCTCATAAAGGCAATTTCTAGGCTTTTCATTCATTATATGATAATAGAAAAACAATAAACAGGAATTTATTTACAGCAAATAGCAGCTAAAAAACTGCCTCCTGATTTATGGTATTTTTCCTACGATTATTCTCTTTTAGATATTTTTTTTTCAGAAGTGAAAGCTATAATTTAAAATCAATTATATCGTATTACTCTGGTCCAGAAACAGTGTGCAGGCATTAGTTAAGAAGTGACCAAGTTCATGATATGGGGCTTCTGGTGACCTGCCTCTTTGGTTCTTAGCTCAAGCCCTTCCATAAGGTGTTGGGAGAAATGTGGGAGAGAACAAGGTAATACATGCTAATGACCAATTTACAAACCCTTTTAAAATGATGCGCTCACTGCAATTCTCTATAGCACAGGAAACTCATTTAAAGTATGTGTTTACTGAATAAATGAGCATTTACACAGCCACAATTCAGAAAAGGGAATGATATCTATTTGCCATTAGCTTATCACAATTCAGTGAAAATAAATGTGACCCCTTCACACATTGTCTACAAACAGGGCTGGCTGATGTGTGGATAACGTTGAGCAATGGGCAGGTCCTGCCAATGTTGTAAATGAAGAACCCTTGCAGAGGGACTTGGAAGAAAAGGTTAATCAATGGTAGTTGCTGGGCTGCTGGGTTCTGTTTACAGGCAAGGAGAGAGGGACCCCAAAAAGGTGGTGGTCACCAGTACCATGGCCTGAAATGTCTGAGGTGTTTTGGGTCTTGATGAAGCCATATAGTGACTGAACTTGTGAATCTATCAGTACATCCACTAGTGGTGTTAATCTTTGCCTGTACTATGCTAAACGTTTGCTTGCATGCTAAGATACAGTGGATAATTTAAATGGTTATGATGGTCTCAGTTATGTGTTTTACAAGGGCAAGACCTGAAATATGTAATAAGGTGAGGTCGTCTTCTGTGACGTACCCTTATATTGGGAATTTAGTGTCAACAATATTATGAGCTAGACATCCTCCTTATAAACTCTGCACCTTCTCTGTGTGACTTATTTTCAAAGCTTCTATTTCAATCTGCTCTTCTTTCAACCTTTACTGCTGCGAAAAAGCATCTTTGTCATCAAACCCCAGGGCTTTGGGTCTCTTGTTTCCATCTAACCCAAGCCTGGTGGGACTGCCTGTACCCCTCTCCTTGGCCTCAGAAGGGTTTGATTTGTATCCTCGACTGACTGAATGTCAAAAGGTAACATTGTGTGGCTCTTGTGGCATCTCTGAAACGTGCTCTGAAAGTTACTCAGAATGGCCTTTTAATTCTGTTTTACTGAGGAAGCATTAATTATTTTGGAGAGAGAGAGGAAGTGTCAGAAACATCCGTAAATGCTCTGCTTTTACTGACCCCATGACTTTAATTTCTAATTTCCAGTCTTTGTCTAATGAACCTTTAATGGGCTTCAGCACATTTGAGGTTGTAGATCAGTGGACACTATTTGTGGCAGTTGACCTAAGAGTTTTCTGTTCTCTATTCACCCTTTAGTGTTTGTTTCTACTTCATGGCTACCCTCGCAATTCATGAGGCTTCATGTTGAACCAGATTGAGGAACTTGACTGGGAAAAAATAACCTAGCAAAAGAAAAAGTTATTTTTGACTCAACTCCTTAATTTGGCAGAAAATTAAGATAATAAAGAAAAGATACAAAGGAACTACCTTTCAAAGAGACCCTTTGACACGTAGGGGGGAAGCACACCATGGAAGGACAGCTATTGCTCTGCAGTTATCATTAAGGGCATTTACATCAATTATGTTAGGAGAAATGGAAGAAAAAGTGGTTCTGTTAAAGTAGTTATTTCAATAATGATGAGTCTAAGATGAGAAGGAGCTATTAATTTCCCCCCCTGGGTGGGAAGTGGAGCCACTGAATTTCAGCACTGTCTATTGCAATCAACTAAAGAAAGGTGGGGAAAGACCACAAGCCCAATCAAGTGCGATGAAGAACTTTGTATGACTTTATTTTTTCAAGTGGAAATCTTGACCATGGTCACATTAGACTTTCCAGTGTTACAATTCTCCTAAAAAATCTCATACTTTTTATCCCCAGATAACTTGGGATGTTATAGTTCAATGCTGTTTGTTTATCCCATTCAATAACTGCAATGATTCTAACTGAAGGTATTATCTATGTAGAAAATAATTAGAACTGAGATGGAGAAGAACAGAACAGCTGGACTGCTGTGAGAGCTGATAGGAGGAGGAAAATACCAACTGGTTCGGAGAGA